ACCTAACTTTGTCCAGGAATGTGCTCCAGTATTTAGACGTAAACAGTTTATCACGATCGGTGATGAACTCTTTAGGTATCCCATGCTCTGACACTAGTGCCTTTGTAACCTCGTACGCGCATTCATCTGCCGTAATAGTCTCTTCTGTGGGCACAAATTTCGCTGCCTTAGTCAGTCGGTCTACGATTACTAGGATTGTGTCGCAAAATCGAGCTGATCCTGGTTCTAACGATCTCGGGAGCTTCACTATGAAGTCCATCGTTACGCTTGTCCATGGTCTAGATGGTGGCTGTAGGGGTTGTAACAGGCCGTAGGGCTTATGTCTCTTGGGCTTGTTCTGGTGACATGCCAAACAGTTGCCTAGTATTTCCTGCACCTTCGCTCGCAAGCGTGGTATTGTAAACACCTTAGCTAGTCGTCTAACTATTTCGTCCACCCCTGCGTGTCCATATTCTGGGGACTCGTGCAGGGTCTTAATAAGTTCGGTTCTCATATGTGGGGGTATGTACGTGCTTGTACATTCTCTTAGAGCTTTAAGCTTTTTCTTATCGTTTGTTACTTCTGGCGGGTAGGGGTCCGTTTCTGACGCCCATAACGTTGCTTTTTCCTGCCATTGTTTCTGTAGTGTTTCTACCTGCTCGGCCACCTTAGCTACCTTAGCTAGTTCCGGCTGGTTGTACTTTAGACTGCCATTGGGCATCGTCTTGAGTAAGGCGTCATGTGGTTCTTTATGACCCTCTTCGCGCAAATCAGACCTTCTACTTAAAGCGTCCGCTGCTCCGTTAAGCGTCCCTGCGCGGTGCGTGATCTTGAAGTCGAACTAGGCTAGCATCTCTGCCCATCGTACTTGTCGTCGGTTGAGTTTTTTCGTTGTCATGAAACTCGTTAAGTTCTAGTAATCAGTAAAAACCTCGATCTGTTCAGGGAGTCCTAGTAGGTACACTTCCTATTGTTCAAAGGCATCGACTACTCCAAGTAGTTCCTTATCGTGAACATCGTAGTTAAGTTCTGCTCCAGAGAACTTTCGTGAATGGTAGAACACTGGTCTCCATTTTCTATCTGGGCACTGCTGTGACAATACAGCTCCGAGTGCATAGTCAGACGCGTCGGTCTCGACTCTGGTAGGTCGTTGAGAGCTGTACATCTCGAGTACTGGCGCCTCCAGGAATATCTACTTGATTCAATCGAAAGCCTCTTGATGTTCCTGTTCCCATTTAAAACCTATTTCCTTTTTCGTTATTTCCGTAAGGGGTGCTGTAATCTTTAAGTAATCTCTAATAAACTTTCAATAGTAATTCGTAAATCCTAAGAAGGATTAAATATCCTTAACTATTTTAGGTATTAGCTATTCCTGTACAGTCTGTATCTTCTTTAGGTTCATTTTTACTCCTTCGGTTAATATGATAAATCCGAGAAATTCCATTTCCTATGTGTGAAATTCACACTTTCCTGGTTAAAGGTATAGCTTGTATTCCCTAAGCTTCCGTAAGACCTTCTTAACATACTCGACATGTTCTTCGCGTGTGCCGCTAGAGTACACTAGTACGTCGTCCAGATACGCGGTGACAAAGATTCCGAGGTACTCGTAGAGAGCGTTGTTAATGACTGATTGAAAGGTTACCAGCGCATTCGTCAATCCGAACGGCATAACCGTGTATTCAAAGAGTCCGTACGTCGTTTTGAACGCTGTCATCTATTCGTGACCCTCTTTGATCCTGATTCGGTAAAATCCTTCCCGAACATCGAACTTCGTAAACTACTTAGCTCCCTAGAGTCGATCCATGAGCTCTGTAATGAGTGGTAAGGGATATCGGTTCTTCTAAGTTACGCTGTTCAACCTTCTAAAGTCGACACATAGTCGCCACTTCCCGTTAGGTTTCTTTACGAACAAGATGGGTGAGGCCATCGGGCCTGATCCCGGTCGGATAAATCCCTTCTTCAAGTTCTTCTGAATGTAATCCCGCAGCTTAGCGTCGTGCTCGGGCGCTATAGGGTACATTGGTCCTGGGCTCAACTTAGCTCCTTCATCAAGGATGATCTCGTGATCCCAATCCTGATGGTCTGCTAGGTCCGTTGCCTCATTTTCTTCGAACAGTTCTCTGAACTCGTCCGTTTGGTATTCTGTCGGAATCGCCAACTGTGGTACCGATCTGTCCTTCGTGGTCGCGATCTGCCGTATCCAAATGACTCCTACTCTCTGAGGGTCCTTCGCATAGATTCTCGCGATCTTATGCGGTGAGATCATGCCGAATCTCCCGTCCTGGGTTGCGCGCTGATTCGTCGGGCGTGTCTCGTGTCGTACTCCAGTAACCTTGTGCACAGGCTCTCGGCTGAGTAATGTCTTCTTTTGCCAATCGATGGCAGGGTTGTGCTTCAACAACCAATCGTAGCCAATTATCATCTCGGTCTCTCCAAGATCCATAATGCTAATCTTTTCTCGGCTTTCTTAACCAGCCAGGCGTAACGTTACTGCCTCGGTCTCAAGTCGGATCCAACCGTTCCCGTATGTCGTGGGACTATCGTCGGCTAATACCACTCGCATCGGTACCTTCTTGTTCCGATAGGGTATGTTGTTTCCTTCCACTACTCGTGGAGATATGACGGTTCGTGCTGCCCCACTATCTATGAGCGCTAACACCTCATGTCCGTCTACAAGTACTGTGGCTTTCAATTGCAACTCTTTTACTCCCACTTCCTATACTTGCTTAAGGGTCGTTTTAGGACTGCCTTTGCCAGCGTAACCCTGTCCCTGGTAGCATCCTAGTTTTTTGACTGCCTACTTCCCTTCTTCTTTGGGAAGTAGCCTTCGCCTGCCTTGGCGGAATAGTGTATCGTACACTGATCGTTGTAGCAGAAGCTCCAATGGATATTCTTATAAGGTATCTTCTATTGCGTGGCCCTCTTCCTTGGTTCCGGCTTCTTGCTTTTGTGAATCGGGCAATCCTTTGCCTCACAAATGTTCGCTGGTAGGATGCTATAGTAGTGGTTGCCTACCTGTCGAGCATCCTCGAACTGTTGTTAGTGCATAGCACAACCTTTCCTGCAATGCGTCCATAGGAGTTTACTGTGCTCTACTGGCGTTTCCCGTACTTGGGCCCTATGCATTCTGCAGTTTTTTGCTATGCATTCTTCGGCGGAAATCGTGCTATGGTAGTAGTCGTCTACCCTTCTAGCTTTCCGTCGCTGTTCCTTGTGGAATTGGCAATCGATCGTGCACTTGATCCAACACAACTCTTCGTGAGCTTCCTTTTCTCCGGGCTGGTGCATGTGGCAATGCTGTACGCGACACTCGTTATGCCATAAATTGGTATGGCAGCAATCGTCCTCGTTGTCTCTAGTTTCTTCTCGCTTCCTCAAGTGATAATCACACTGTCTTGGGCAGTCGACCCAACATAGGCGCTCGTGTTGCTCCATCCGTTCCTTGAACGTCCGAGGTGTCTCCTCGTCATCAGGTTCCTTGAACCTGGGTTGTTCCTGGGCAGCCCTGTAGGCAATCTTATCTGCTCGGGGTCCCGAGATTGTGACTCGTCCATCGATGTCACAATCGTTGGCTTGATGTGCATTGGTTCCGCAAATCCAGCACTGTTGGTTTCTTAGGCGGCGTAGTACTTCGGCCCCTTCAATCTGCCAATCCGTTGGTAGTGGTGCGTCCCACTTGAAGTCTTGGAGTCCTATTGCCTCTTGTACTAGCTCAAAGGCCTCGTCGGTGGCTTGTCTTGCTTCTTCGTACAGGTCTAGGTCGCTGAGGGTTTCATCTGGCTTCTTAGTTGGGTATGGTGTTGGTATCCGAATCATCCCAATCTTGACCGCTCCTTGTCTGACTTCGTTTTTTGGGCAATCTCTGCGGAAGTGTCCTACTTCACCGCATCGGAGACATGCCTTGCTGTCATAACGCTTCTTGCGTTCTTCCGTGGAGAGTCCGTCATTATACTGTCCTCGGGGTTTCTTATTCTTGTCCTTAGACTTGTCTTGTACCTTACTAGTCATGATGGTGTCGCCATCCTTGTCGAACCGGCTACGCTGTTTCCTTGTGTTGGCCATCACTGGCTGGGATTATTTTCTTTGTCGGTTTCTTTCCCATAGTCTGTTATCAATGCGTGTCGCTAACTCGATCAGCGCATGAAGCGTGTTTGGTTTGTCGTGATGTACAAGTCCGTCTTTAACATTTTCCTTCAGACCTGCTTCGAACACCGTTCGAAGTGCTGCGTCGTCCTAGTCGATTCGTGCCTATAGCTGCTTGAACTCGGCTGTGTACGCTAATACTGAACTAGTCTGCTTCAGGCGAGTTATCGCTTTCTCTGCCTGGTTCTGAGCATCCACTTCCCCAAAGATGTGTCCCATCTCTTTCTTGAATTCGGCCCAACTAGTGAACAAGGCGCGCGTCTCGTCCTTCGTTCCTCTGTTCTCGATATTTAATAGATAGTCCTCCACGTATGGCTACATCCAGCTTAACGCTCGTCCTTTCATGTGGGTGCTAGCCATAAGAATCTTTTCCTGGTCATTAGGTACCTCGTTGAATTCGCAGTATAAGTCGATGTTGGTAAGGAATGTCCGCAACTCGGTGCGACTTCCGTCATACTTTTCTAGGGTTGCCATTTTCGGCTTCTTGAGTGGTCTCTCATTCGAGATGGCCATCAATTAACCCATGAGTTGGTTAATCGTATTCTACAACTCAGCCATCTGCCTTGCTTGGGCTTAGCTCTCGCGTCTAAGATTGACGAGTTCGTACTCGGGGCTCCCTGCCGCCGGCTCGTTATTTCCCCCTTAGGTACTACCAGTCATATTGACATCTCCCTCAGGCGCCGGGCCTGGGATATTAACGTATTCGCTTGAATTTCCTAACATGGTTCAATCTTAATCGGACGCTGTTGGTTAATCCTCCTTCCACTGGATCCGTGGGTGGTCAAAGTGTTACACGGGGTAAGGGTCTATACTTCTCTATCCTAGTCCGCACTAAGGCAGGTGAGTATTACGTTAGTGTTCCGTGAGGCTTGTCTGGCGATGCAGTAGAGTTGGCGTGCTTAAGGAGGGTTTAACAAGACTAATCTATTTAATAGACTAACTTGTGACAATCTTGTTAAGTAAAGATACTAGTAAGAAAGTACAATTTGAGTTGACCACAACGAGAGTAATAATAAAATCCATCCATCCTTATATCCTCATTGCTTCCAGTCCTGCCATCCCGTCCATCCCATTTTCTTACTCCTTGGCGGGATGTCTGTGATGGCATGCCATCCCTAATCCCATTGCCATCCCATGCTTGGCGGGATGTCTTGTCTTGGCGGGATGGCACATCACGTGACCCCAGGCCCCGCGATGATCATTACCTTCTGACGTGGACGTCCATAAGCCTTCAGCCATCTCGTCATTTGTCAAGGAGAGGATCCTTCTTATTACTTGTAACATTATCTAACTTAGTTTAGTATATATTTTGCGGATAAGTAGGAGAGAGTAGTAGTCTTTTTAAATTATTACGTTTAGAGCACGATAGTTAGTATAAAATTCAACACACCAACTTCGAGTTTTTCAGAATAGGTGTAATTTTAGCGAATTATATACAAATCCATCCCAAGAAATCGATTACAACTAGTGCCAACTCGTGCAGCCCACGCGCTATAGAGCTAGAAGCTGGTAAAGTAGCTAATCTGAACACGTCTCACTCACGAAAACAAAAACACACAGACCATCTAGTTGCTTACTAAGAAAAGAGCTTAGTAATAAAATGCCGCCAGACAGTGATACTATTGTAGTAAATACTCAAGAAAACAGACAGGAGAGCCTAGGGCCAGAGGCCCAAACTGATAGAGAAATGGAGATAGAGTCTACTCCAGCTACACCTACTCAAAACCAACAAACACCTAGCGTGTTTGAAATACCAATACTACCACCAAACAAA